GCGTGCAGCAACAAAGACCCAATGCAGCCAAAAATAAATAAATAAATTTATAAAAGCAAAATCTTCAACAAAAAGGCTATTTGAAGGATAGCTCTGAAAGAGTAAACACAACCTAAAAATGTCAATATCAAAATAGAGTGTGATCATGTAGTAAAGATGGTTAACACCATTTTAGTACTAAAAACATATTTTGTGTCTCAATGTTAAAAAAATTTACTGAAAATCCCACTTTTTCAGATTATCCAAATAGAATAAGGACAACTCAGTAGAATATTATAGTTCTTCTGACTTTTTCAGCTGTTTTGACCACAGATATATAAATATGGACTAAAAAGCAGACAGTCTGTAGTATAATAAAATATATATATATTTGGTTTTTGGCCCAGGTATAGATATTTTTGATCACCAATGGCCAATGATTTCATCAGCCATGCCTACAAAATGAAACCTCCATAAAAACCCTTATATGACAAGGTTTGGGGAGCTTCCACATTGATGAACGCATCGAGGTCCTGGGAGCAAATGCCCAGATGGCATGGAAGCTTGGTGCCCCCCTCCCCTACATTGCCCTATGCATCTCTCTTCCATTTGGCTGTTCCTGAATTGTATTCTTTAATAAGCCCATAAGCATAAACAAACTGTCTTCCTGAGACAGTTCTAACAAATTATCAAACCTAAGGAGAAGGTTGTGGGAACCCCCGATTTACATCTGGTTGGTCAGAAATGTGGGTGTCCCCACTCCTGGGGATTGCAACCAGCATCTGAGGTGGGGGCAGTCTTGTGGGGCCCAGCCCTTAACCTATGGAGTCTGTGCTGACTCTGCGTAGTTGGGGTCAGAACAGGACTGACTTGCTGGATATCCAGTTGGTATTGTAAAATAAAAGAAACCACATATTTGGTTCAGGGAAAAAATTTCTCATTGTCCTTATCAATGAAAGTCAGAAACTGATCATGTTCCAAATACATTATATTCAAAACATTATAAAAGATGATTTTATAAGATAAAAAAATTTTTGGAGTAGACAAGAAGAGGCAATCAAGCTGAGTGTACCTGAGAAATGACTGTAAAAACAGGCACAATTATAAAACTGGTTCCAAATTCAATCTGGGGAATCCTTACTTCAGTTTCATCTAAGTACCAAAGAGGCCCACATGATTAAAGTAGCAATTCATTAGTAATTCTTCAAATGATGTAATTAACACTATGCTTCAACTTAATTAACATCTGAAATTCGGGTCTTGGGATAGCACTGAGTGTAAGAGGATTATAGTTTTGTTTTTTAAATCTTATTTTGAAATAACTTCAAATTTACAGAAAATCTGCAAGATTGTTAACAAAGAATTCCTTTATACCCTTTATCCAGATTTACAAAATTTTAACATTTTGTTCCATGTCTGTGTGTATTATTTTTCTAAATTTTTTCAGAGTAGATTGTATGTTTCATGCGCTTTACCCCTTAGTATGAGTATTTCTCAGCAACAAGGATATTCTGTTGCTAACTGTAGTTACTGAAAAAAAGTATTTGTTTTTTATACAGGATCAAATTGAGGGTCACACATTCATTTAGTGGTCATGTGTACTTAGTCTCCTCTCATCTAGAAATGTTCCCCAGACTTTGTTTTTTTTATGACACTAACAATACAGGCCAGTTTATTTTATTCAATGCACTTCAATTTGGGTTCCTCTACTGTTTCCTCATGACTGGATTTCAGATTATAAATTTTCAGCTTAGTTATTACACAATTCATGTTGTGTTCTTCTCAAAGTATCATATCTAGAGGTACAGGATGTCCATTTCCCCCCATCCTTATGTAGCTGCCATTTCTCTACTTGGAATTAATAAATAAGTTGTGGGAGTTAATTTGAGATCATGTTCATAACTTGTTCCTCGGGAAATGCCCTCCTCTCATCCCAGACTTAGCATCCACACTGATGAAACTTGTCTGAATCAATTCTTATTAAGATGACTACAAAGTGGTGATTTTCTATCTCCATCACTCCTATATTTATTAGTCAAGATTCTATGGTAAGGTTCTCCTCTTCTTTATCTATTTTATTAGTTGGACGGACTAATGAATTGTTGTTTTATTCATTTACACTCCATTTATTGTCTTTGGCCAGTGGGAACACATTCAAGCTGACTTCTGGGCCTTTGACCTGTCCCCAACATTTCTGAGGGGCCCTTCTTTCCCAGCCCAAGTTCCAGAATCAGTCATTTCTCCAAGGAACCTTAATTCACTTCAGTGAAGAATAGTATTTAGACTTTAAGGTCTGAGTAGAAAGACTGGTATTTTAATTCTAAAAAAGAAAAGATATTCCTCCTTAGAGCACTGCTTTCAGATTAGTCTGTAAAAGGTGTACACAAGAGTCTACTCTGGGTGACAACATCTACTTGAGCTCCAAAAGAAAAGGGCATTTTGGAATGTATGAGCAAGTATTTCGACTTGGCTGACCCCCTATGATTTACTCTGAACTATAGCTCACTCAACCTTACTTTGGAGAGTAAAGAACTAAAAGTAAATTCTCTGAGTCTTTACAGTCAAGCTGTTCCATTTACCTCCTCTGGAGGGACAGCCAATTCGAACAGGAAGTTAAAATAGTTTTCAAATCCCTTAGAAGGTTATTTGTCTTCTATATACTACCAACCTGCCCTGGCTTAAGAGCTTTCTTTCATGCTACCAATAGAAGCAAGTAAATTATTAAGAGCAAGGACATCTTGGATTAACAAAGTGAAATAAAGAATACAGAACACAAAAGGTTTATTGTAGTCCAGAGTCAATAAATTAAAACTGCGTTTAGTATAGGCTAACTTTATCCACATGCAAAGGCCAAACAAATAATCAGCCTGAAATGCAAAGTTCGCCTGGCAGAGTTACATAAGCAATCTGTGAAACAAAGATCCAACAGCATCCTCTTTTCTAATGCACACACAACAATTTTTTTCCCAACACTTTGAGGTCTTTCTCACCATATGCTTTCTATAGACAAAAAAACAGCTAAAGATAAAAAAAATAAAATAAAGTAAAAATCTATCATTCTAAAGAGAAGAAAAAAGGTAAGAACTATTCCACATAAGAGTTTTTAAGATAAAAATCACTTGAAATTTTTCTTTTAAAGTACAAATCTTCTCTCCATAATATGATGTATACTGTACAGAAGGTCTTAGGACATGATTTTTTTAAATTGCCAAGTATAGTCAATGAATGTATGTGACTATTAAGCACTTCAGTAATAGAAACTTCATTATCTATCTATCTAGATACAGACACAGATATAGGTATAGATAAAAACATATTTCAAGGTCAAGGGATATAATGGAAAAAAGCTTTATCAGGAGTTAGAAGACCTGAGGTCTAATACATCAACTCATTATATGACCCTGGGTAAATTAGTTAACCTTTCTGGGCTTTCATATTGTCATCTGTAAAATGTGGCAGTTACAGCTGATGGTTTTACAATTTCTTTACTATTTCATCTGTTGTCATATACCATTTCACCATACATCTATAAATTCATAAGGTTAATGAGACTTTCTCAAAGCAGGAAACAGAATTTAAGCTAAATAGGAATGAATGGCTTTGATCAATACCTTTGAGCTCCTTACCAGCAGAGATGATTTTGTCAGAAAAACAACAGGCATTTTAAAATAGCTAACACTTACTGGAGATTAACTATGTGTGTCAGGTACTGCGCTGAACTCTGTACACACATCGGCTCATCTAATCCTCAAGACAGGCCTATGATAGGTATTACTGTCCCTCAGAATAGACAGGGCTTAAAGAGATTAGCTTGCTTAAGGTCACACAGCTAGCAAACTGCAAAGCTGAGACTCAAACCAGGGTGACTCCAAAGCTTACAGTTTTAATCACCCTACTACATTATCTTCTAATAAATAAATCATGAGCCAAATACATTCTTATCAAATACATTTAATCTCTAGCAGGTACTGATTATTTCCCTTCTTACTACTGTAGAGAAAACTGCTGAGTGACAGCCAACCAAGAACAACTCCAAATTAATCACGTGAACAAAAAGATTGTTTAAAGGTTTACCTCTATTAAAGAGACATGCTGTGTTTTTAGATAAGCAATTGTTCCTTTTAATAAAACAAAAAACAATAGTCATTAAATCCAAAAGACCAGAAAAGATCTTAAGGTATAATATTATTATTATTATTAATTTTTTTAAAGGTGTGATATTATTATGCCCCTTCCTTTAAGCAGACCAAAAATCTCATGACAATTAGCCCAGGTTGGGGGGCAGGGGGTGAGGGGGTACAAGGGAGTGTCTAAGAGAACAGCTCTACCGATAGTGTCAGTGTTGGTTCCCAGTATCCCATACCATTTCAAATTTACTGCATAGCTCTGATTACCAACATAAAGGTTCAGAGACTAAGCCCTAACAACAGACATTCTTTCTTGCTTCCTACTAGGCCACTTCAACTAGCCTATCTGCTCACTAGCGAGAATCTTCCTGCTTGTTTAACATGGAATTTTAAGAAGTAGGATGAATAAGGTCAAGTACATACAAAAGTGAGCCTTTTCCTACATGTTCTCTACATAGTATTTCCTCAACACACAGGCTGTCTCTCTAATAAGCGCTCAGAAAACTTTTTTAGACAACTTTAAGGCTAGAAACAGTCATTTCTGATAAGGTATGGATAGTGAGAATATTAAACAAAGGAGAATAAACCAATATCCAAAAATTAAAGGCACAAAAAATAAAACATCCAAACAGATGGGATGGGAATGAATTTTATAAACAAAACTACATATTTCAATTACCTTTATTCCTCTTATAGAGTAAATAAGTTCTCTAAAACACAGTGTCCTCCAACCAAAGAGATTTCATATGTCATCTGTACCTCAAACCCAACATCTCAAGTCTGTGCTGATATTCTCTGAACGCTTACAGAAATTAGAAAGCTGAGCCCACATACACCGTGGATCTACTCTATACCTCTTTGGGCACAAAAGAAAAAAGAGAATCAGAAAATTACCCTTCTTTGATCCAACCCTGGATGAAGCACTGAAGAATTTCTTCACTGTGGTAACCTTGCGGGTCTTCTCATTGGTTTTCTTTTCTTCAAACTTGGAAAATGTGAGGGATTGGGCTCCTTGGCTGCTCTGACTGCTGGCAAAGGCCTCTTCTTCCTCCCGCTGTAGTCTGTAATTCAAGAAGAGGTTACGTTTAACCCTGATATTCTCCAAGTTCTCCTTGTATCTAAAGGTACTAACTCAATGAATTGGGGATCTAAAATTTGTAGAACTAGAGGCTAAATACACCAAATAGGTCTGAGGTCTCTGACAGGAAGCTCTCCTATGTGCTACCACAAACTTCAAAAGGGACTTCTCTGTGGATCACGTTCATTCAGCAATTGTACTAGTGTTACATAAAGCAAATAAAGTCTAGTCCTTTTCCCTGACAACCTCAAGGTTGGAAGAGAGAAAAAGACAAGTAAATAATTACCACATAATGTAACAGTGCCTATAGTAGAGAGCAAAACCCAAGTGCTATGAGAACATAGGAAAAAATAAACTAAATCTGCTGAAGGAGTCCAAGAAGGTTTTATAATGGTGACATTTAGGCCAGCCTTAGAAGGATCAAGAGGATTCCGCCAAGTAAAAGGGCATTCCAGGAAGAAGGTACTACACATGTGAAGGATGTGGCTTTTGTTGTGGACCAAGTTCATTCAACGTAGTCAGATCACTGACGGTGTGATGGACTATGCTGCTGGATGTACAGCTGGGCACCAGGTGGTAAGAAACCTTGACTGCCAAGCCTGCTATAATCCTGGATTTCATCATGTGGTGGGGAACCAAGAAAGACTATAATCCAGTAAGTTACCATTAAAGGTAATGCAGGTAGCTGTGTGATAACTTGAGGGGCAGAGAGACTAGGGACAGAGACAATAATTAAGAATATATTACAAAGATTTAAGTGAGAGAAATAAGAACCTGAAAAATAGGAAAGGATGAAATTCAAAACACTTCTCTTAGCTAGAATAAGCAGAACTTGCTTAATTAGTTGTAAACAGTGTGGGAGATGAAGGAGAAATTAATAATGACTAATGTTTTTTTAGCCAACTGAATAAATAGTGATGTCGTTAATTGATACCGGAGGAGGGTTAGGAGGAACTGCTGGGAGTGGGGATTAGAGTAAATAAAAGCAAGAAATCTGGCCTTGGACCAGCTGAACTTGAGGTATTTATAGTAAATCTCAAAGGCTATCTATAGATCTATGGTTCTCAAAGTGGATTCCCCAGACAGCAGCATCAACATCACCTGGGAACTTGTTAAAAATGCAAACTCTCAGGTCTCACTCCCAACCTACGAGAGTCTGAGATTCTGAGGGTGAGGTTCAGTGACCACGGTTTTTACAAGCTTTCCAGGTGATTCTCATGCCTGTTCAAATATCAGAAAGTGCTGTAGGAAATCTCAAGCAAGGTCGCAATTGGAAGCAGTAAGAAACAGCAACAAAATCACAGGTAGAGGTGTTGGTGTGAGAATGGAATAGGGACACATCTTTCTCTGAGACAAAACAGAAGTTAATATAAAGACACTAGTACAGTTTGATAACAAGGGAGAAAACTAAGGGAATTCATGCCTAGTGGCCTCTACTTTCTTTCTAAAATAGGATCAGCTACAGAGACTATCAGGAATGCAATGGGAAACCCGAGGAAATAGTTAATGTTATATGTCTATATTTTCTCTCTTTGACTGACTATGGAGTCACTGAAAGCAGCAACTGTACTTTATAATATTGAGTTCACCACAGATGGTAGCAAAGTAATCACTCAACGAATATACCTGATTAAATATTAAAAAAAACTAGCAAAAGCTGTCAGAGATCAGTCTTTCTTTTACTGAGAAGCTTCACAGTTTCTAGGATGCTTTGGTAAAGGATTAACATTATTCATCGTATTTTATTAGTTCCTATGCTCACTAGACATTCTATGTTTTAATTTTTATCATAATCATATTTCTGCATAATACTAACAAATGCCATTTTTTTAAAGAAAAGTTAAATTTCCATAATGTAAGGATTATATATACAAATCAACAGGTTTCTATTATTATGTGCTTATCACTGCGCCAGATGCCATGCTGGATATATTAAAAGAACGAGGAAAATAATGCTTGATGAAAGTCATGTGCAATAACCTCATTTAATCTTCACCACAAAATATGTTTATCTCCATTCTTCCACTCCAAGGAGCTTACTGTCTTTATTAGAGAACTAAGACTAATGCATCCCAAACACAGAACAATTAAAAGTTAAGACAAAGACAAAAATAAAGAAATCACTGAAAGCTACTCATTAAACGCTGAATGAGGGGAAAAAAATTCATTTCTCTTAATATTAAACTGACTTGCTGACAGATCAAAACAGAAGAAAAAAATGTATTCTGACAATGACACAGCTATGTATCCAGTTATATCACTGTTAAACCACCCCTAGTTAAGTCCTTTTACCGCTCTGCTAGTTCCCAATCCTCCTGAATCTGCTTCTGCCTGGCTTTGTGGTACTCCTCCCTCCAGCACTTGGAGCAGAAACCCTGCCAAGCAGGGTTGCCGTAATAACCACATCCTTTCTTGCATAGGAGCTCTGATTGATCCACATGAATTCCTCGGCGTTCAGACTTAAGACTCATCTTCTTCCTGTTAATCAAAGAGCAAACAAGAAAGTTTTGTTGAAAATGAATTCACTATCATTCTACTCACAGCAAAGCAATTAAGAAAAAAAAATGAATGAGTCTATCATCTTCAAGCTATAATGGAAGAAAGGAGAGAGGGAGGGAAAGAGGGAAAAAGAAAGTTTAAATATTACAAATTGCTGTCATACTAAAGAACAAATTTCTTATTCCTGCCCAATAATATAAAGAACACTTTAAGAAGAACTAATATTGGATTAAAGACCTAAACAGAAGATGTGAAACTATAAAACTCCTAGAAGAAAACATAGGGGAAAAACTTCACAACGTTAGATTTGGAGACAATTTCTTGGATATGACACCAAAAGTACAAGCATCAAGAGCAAAAATACACAAATGGGACTACATCAAACTTAAAAACTTCTACACAGGAAAGGAATCAACAGAATGAAAAGGCAACCTATAGAATGGGATAAAATATTTGCAAACCATATATCTGATAAGAGGTTAACATTCAGAATATGTAAAGAACCCCTAAAACTCAACAACAACAAAAATCCAATTAAAAATTAGCAAAGACCATGAATAGACAATCCTCCAAAGAAGACGTACAAAGAGCCAACATGTGAAAAGATGCTCAATGTCACTAATCATCAGGTAAATGCAAATCAAAACCACAAGGCAATATCACCACACACCTGATAGAATGACTATCATCAAAAAGAACAAAAATAACAAGTGTTGGCAAGGATGTGGAGAAATTGGAACCCTTGTGTACAGTTGGTGGGAATGTAAAGTGGCACAGCCACTGGGGAAAACAGTATGGGGGTTCCTCAAAAAATTAGAAATAGAATTATCATATGATCCAGCAATCTAACTTCTGGGTATACACCCAAAAGAACTGAAAACAGGATCTTGAAGAGATACCTGCATACTCATTTTCACTGAGCATTATTCACAACAGCCATGAGTTGTTATTCACAACATTCAAGCATTATTCACAACATTCACAGCATTATTCACAACAGCCAAGCAATCTAAATATCCATCAAAGGATGAATCTATAAACACAGGATGAATGGATGAAGAAAACATGGTATATACAATGGAATATTATATAGCCTTAAAAAGGAAGGAGATCCTATCACATGCCACAACATGGATGAACCTTGAGAACATTATGTCAAGTAGCCAATCACGAAAAGGCAAATCAAAGACATTATTCCACCTACATGAGGTATCTAAATTAGTCACTTCTCATTTTGGTGGCTTCTCTTGTTGTGGAGCACGGGCTCTAGGGTGCACAGGCTTCAGTAGTTGTGGCACGTGGGCTCAGTACCTGTGGCTCGTGAGCTCTAGAGTGCAGGCTCAGTAGTTGTGGCACACGGGCTTAGTTGCTCCGTGTCATGTGGGATCTTCCTGGACCAAGGCTTGAACCCGAGTCCCCTGCATTGGCAGGCAGATTCTCAACCACTGCACCACCAGGGAAGCCCCCGTACACTTTAAAAATGGTTAAGATGGTAAATTTTATGTTATGTGTTTTTTACCACAATAAAAAAAGATTTTAATATTAAAAAAGGGGGGACTAATAGATCCTTCTTATTTGCTACCATTTTAAACCTGAGGGACAAAGTACAATCTTCTTGAAATACTGTGTTCTTACTACATTATGTCATTTGGCTCAAAAAGACAACTTCATTTCAACGATATGAAAGTGAATACTTTGTCCCAAATGAGATAATTTAACATTCACCAAGAAAACAAGTGTAATTAAAGAATCAGAATAAATCTAAACTCCTTGAGACGGCATTCAAGGCCCTACTGTTTGCCACCACTCACTACATGCCTAATATTGTGACAGGTACTCAGTATAATTATGTCTCACAAAAACCAAGGTAGATATTATCTCCATTTTATTAGATATGAAAATTCATAAACAAAATCAGGCAGCATGAACAATGAAGAAAAAGAGAAAAGTGCTATGAAACCGAGGGGTGGCGGGAGAAGGTGAGGTCATTCTGACTTAGGGAGCATGGAGAGACCACCTGGGCCAAGGAGTGAAGGGTGGGGGATGTAGACTTTCAAGAGCCTTGAGTTGAGGCTTAGAGGGTCTTGGAGTGATGGCACAAAAGAGGGGAGACATTCCGGACAGGAAGAACATCTTTTGCAAAACACTCAGAGACAGGACAGCAAACGCAGAACATGAATGATGTGGTATAAGTAGGAGGTAAATAGAAGCAGTTACATGTGAAGTTCAATTATGATGGCTTTTTAAAACTGCAGGGAAGAGTCTGGGTTACAGCATTGTTGTTTCAGTGAAAAGGGGAAATCAGGATAGGTGTCTATTTCAAGACATAAAACTTGAGAGGTGGAGTTCTGTCTTCCAGTATGATGAAGTGAGGAGGACAATAAATCCTCTCCACCAAAATCAACTATAAAGATAGACAAAACTTCCTCTCTGCTGATGGATCAAAGTGTGAACCAAGGAATGCATTCAAACTTCAAGCCACCGACTGGCTCTCTCGCATCTCCCGTGTGTATGCACAGTCTCTGTTGGCCAGACACTGGAAGCCTTACTGGCTAGAGATGTTTGTGCACAAATTCAGTCTTTGAACAAACAACAATCTTCGGCTGAACATTAAGGTATGCAGGCAGATGGGTGACCCTGAGAAGGAAATCAAGGATAAAAATAAATGTAAGAAAAAAAAATGAGGGCAGACATGAGCAGCCGCAGGGTGTGGGGAAGAGAGACTTCACAGGTGTAGTCCAGCTATAAAACCTACATGGCATGAGCTAAGCACTATTTTTGAGGATTTTCAAAGGCAAAAGGGAGGACAAGAATTAAGGAAGAAGAGCAGAATTCAGTGTATCACTGAATCCTCGGTGAGTTTACCCTTTTGTCCCCTCCAGTATCACCAAGCCAACCCAGAAATGGACACCAGGGCACAGAGAGCGCTCCTCTAGCTCTGGCTCAAAGAATGAGACAGGGAACTCCTAACACTGAGAGGAAATATGAAAATCCCTCCATTTTCTTGTCTTTTTTTTTCCTCCTTCTCTTGAGCCATGAGCAATCACATGGTGTCCACAGAAGCGGCTGGAATGAGAGACTGCAGGAGCTAAACTCGGAGGAAGGGGAACTATCCATTTTTCCCACTCTCTAGTCTCCTAGACAGTGATGGGAGTACAAGACAGAGTGGGGTAACTAATTCCACAGCTTTCCACCCAGAGGAAAGAAGATGAGCCCCAAGAGAACTTTAAAAATACAGGAGGAATCAATGAGGAGAACTCAAGAAAGCAAGCTGAAAATGTGTGCATGGGTCTGATGCTATTCAGGATCAGAGACTAAAATTCACACTAATAGAGACCACTGCACAGGTTTCAGACTGACACACGCAGGAAACAGATCAAAATAGCACTGCGAAGCCTCTGAAAAATGAACCAGCGTGGGAACCACAGCTCACAGAAGTAGGGTTGGAACCTGCGGCCCAAACTTGGCAGCAAAACTAAAAACTTTTGCTTCTCCAATGACACTACGCAGAAAATGAAAACACAAACTATAGACTGGGAGAAAATACTCGCAAATCATATATCTGACAAAGGACTTGCATCCAGAATATATAAAGAATTCTCAAAACTCAACAGAAAGAAAAACCACCCAATTAAAAAAATGGGCAAAAGACCTGAACAGACTTATGCAAAGAAGATATACACATTGGGAGACAATTCTCCACGGGTGTCTCACATTTCTGTACAAGAGGCCTTCGTGACAGACTATCTCTTCAAGGATATTTGCATATCTAACATTCTCAGGAGGAACAGATCACTGTCTCCCTCCAGAGAAAGGGTAAGTTTGTTTACTGTCAAGTAAAATAGATATAATGTTTCCCTCCAGGTCAAAAGTCAGGTGGGTTTGTTAGCTGCCCATTATAAAGGATTTGGGTCCCTTAAGCTTAGGTTCCTCAGCTGTGACACCAGCCCCATGGGACTTGGGGGCAAGGGTAGCCCATGTGAGATGAAGCTTGTTTTACTGATGTCCTATGAATAATAAAGTCCTTTGTCTCCGACTCCAGAGTCTCATGACTTCTGCCAGCATCCATGAAACTGGCAGGCTAACTTGTTACGTTTAAGAGGGTAAAAACCCATGTCACTCACAGTTCTTGACAACATGGCAAATAAGCACATGAAAAGTTGTTCAACATCATCATCCGTTAGAGAAATGTAAATTAAAACCACCATGAGGGCTTCCCTGGTGGCGCAGTGGTTGAGAGTCTGCCTGCCGATGCAGGGGACGCGGGTTCGTGCCCTGGTCCGGGAAGATCCCACATGCCGCAGAGCGGCTGGGCCCGTGAGCCATGGCCGCTGAGCCTGCGCGTCCGGAGCCTGTGCTCCGCAACAGGAGAGGCCACAGCAGTGAGAGTTCAATACACTTACCATACAACCCAGCAATCCTATTCCTAGTTATTCCCTCCAGAGAAATAAAACTGATGTTCACTCAAAAATCTATACAAAAATGTTTCCAGGCAGTGAGAGTCAATACACTTACCATACAACCCAGCAATCCTATTCCTAGTTATTCCCTCCAGAGAAATAAAACTGATGTTCACTCAAAAATCTATACAAAAATGTTTCCAGTAACATTATTTATGATCATTAAAAAATGGAAACAACCAAAATATCCTTCAACAGATGAATGAATAAACAAACTGTGTGGTACATCCATGCAATGGAATGCTACTCAGCAAAAACAACAACAACAACAAAAAAACATACCCAACAACTTGGATGAAATCTCAAAGGCTTTATGATGAGCGAATGAAGCCAGTTTTAACAGTTTACATACTGCAGGGACTTCCCTGGTGGTCCAGTGGGTAATACTCCACACTCCCAATGCAGGGGGCTCGGGTTCAATCCCTGGTCGGGGAACTAGATCCCGCATGCATTCTGCAACTAAGAAGCCCGCGTGCTGCAACTAAAGATCCCGCACGCTGCAACGAAGATCCCACATACTGCAAATA